GAGAGAGAGAGAGAGAGATCAAATTAATGTATTTTGAAAAACCAAGAAACAAACAGGACAAAAATCTATAAGACCAGGAAATGCATTGATGATCACCAAGATGGATCTAGGGGAAAAAAATTCAAGCAAGTCCGGGAAACCAAAAAGATGAAAATTTTAAATGTTTGAAAACCAGAATTGGAGAGGTTGCATATTCAGTTCGCTAAGACAGAAAAAATGCTGCAATTCTTCGATTTGCAGCATATACAATTTTAAGTTTTCAAATTGAAACATTTTCAAGAAATTTTTGAGTTAGGGAAGTTTGGCAACCCATTTAGTTGAAAGATCTTTTTCCTGAAAATGAGGCAAAAACAGGAAAGATGTAAAGATTTACTTTGAGGTTTCTCTACCCATTTGTGTGCTAAACAGCTGGGACACCTCATTTCCAGGGACAAAATCTTCTGGAGATTAATTTTCGAGTACTCAAAAAGGCCCTAGGAGTGCATATATATGGAAGTGTACTATAATGATTTGCAAAGCAGGCTCTGGCTACCTATTTAGGGTTGACACAAGTACTATTACTCTCGGGGCAAGACCACCAGCCACCTTCTGTCTAACAATGTATTCTCCTTCTAGTAGAAGTGAGGATGAATTTTAAATTGTTGTTAACGTCAGCTGAGGCAGGCTGGACAAGAATGGCTCCTCTCCCTTTTTGAGATGGTAAGCAGTGACTGTCAGGTATCGTGCAGCACCTTTCATGCACAGTAAAACATGTGTTGTAGAGTATTCATTTGATCATTCAAATGGTGCTGCAATTATGTTCTCATCATTTTCTCTTCTCTCTCCTGTTTTTTTTTTTGCTTTGGATATCTGTTAACTTGATAGTTCCTTCAAAGTTCAATTCCTGTGCTTTTGAGTGCTAAAGGAAATTGTATTTATCTGATCAGAAGAGGGTTCTTTAGAAAAGTTTAAATGTTTCCTTAACCCGCCATTCTGACGGCCTAGATGTTTCTGTAAATTATGTTCTACAGTCTGTTGTCACTCATGATTTACAGAGTCTTGAAAAAGTTTAAAATGAAAATTAGGACGCATTATTTACCTAGTATTTTCCATAGACATTACAAGACAGAATCCTGGATGAGCTTCTCAAGCTTTCCAAAATTTCCTGTTGTTTTTTGCATGTGTAGCTTCTAATTAATGTAAAACTTTACTGTGCAGGGACATGGTTCATCTGCTCCACCTAGTACCACCACTGTTGATCATCAACGCTTGACTGGTTTTCCAGATACAAATGCATCTATTGCCCAGAGCAATCTGGCTTTCCTACAAGATTCAAACTTTGGTCAGCACAGTCTTCCTCATGTATTAGTCTCAGGGAGCCTTTTTGATTCAGACGAAGAGAGTATTTCAACAAGTCAGATGCATGCTGGTCAGTCCTGTGGAGATGAACATGTTGATGTTGAGAATCTGGGTCGAAATCAGATCACTGCAACATTAACTGGTACTGCTTTGTCCCTTGGAGATGCTCATGGGATTCGTTCCATCAGAGATGGTGGTGAACAGAATCCTATTGGTGAATCTTTTCTAGATGAGTCTCCTTTTGGAAAGCAAGAGGCTTTAGGAAACTTTCTGTCAGAGAGACGAGATGAAAATACTGAAGCTGTAACATCGCCTGCCACTGGTTTGTCAATTCAGGAAGGTTATGAAGTTCATGACTTGATTAAAAGCAGTAATGATGGGAATTCAGTTGCTGACACTCATATAGCTGTGACTGATAGTGAAGTTTTATGTGTTCCATCGAAAGTTAATAATTCCTTTGGACAAGTTTCTGGATCTGATGATTCCCATTTGGTTACTAATGAGGTAGAAGTGCGTGGTACTAGGCCTTGTAATTCTGACCAACTGACAGAACAAATTTCTGAGAGAGAAAGGCTTTCTCGAGAGTTTGTTTTTCAGGACATACAGAAACTAAATGATCAGTTTGTGCTTCCTGATGATGCCCAACGAGATGTGGCTTATGATTTATCTGACAAACAGGTTAATCCAGATCGGCTTATGGGGGGACGCTTGTCTCTTTCTCAGAAGGGCCTGTGTGACAATACTGATGATGATGATGATGATGATGGTCCAAATGATAATCTTCTTTCTAAAGATAATTCTTCCTTTCAATGGGAATCATTGACTCAAATTGGAACTAAGGTTTCAGTTGCAGAGATACTTCATATCTCTACCAGTGATAAAATTAGTTCCTCTACCTCAAATTCTGGTGAGAAAATTCTATCGAACTTTGCAGCAAGCAATGAATTGAGTGAACCTACTGGTGGATCAGTGGGTGAACTTGAGACTCGTGAAGTTGATACTCTATCTGCTTCTCATACCAGTAGTTACTCTGAAATATCTTCTACAGGGCATCCAAAAAAGTTATCCTTCTTGTGTTCAAGTGTCAACAAATCCCAAACAAACTCTAGGTTAAATGACTTGCCTCAGAGAGTGGAAACCACATTCTCTACAGTGGTATCTGTCTCTCAAGAACCAGTATCTCTGTTTTCTCCAACACCTTTGGGTGGGAACCATGGTTTGGATTGCCAGACAATTTCATGCAGTGATGAGACGTGCATTCACTCTAGTGGTAACGAGTCATTTGTAAATGAAAATTACAATAGAGGACCATCTGAGATGGAGCCTGAAGCCAGAACTTTAGTGAATCAGTCACTGGATGTTGTTCTGCCATATTCCATTAGCGAAGGATCGCAAGAGGTATCTGAGAAAAGCGGCACATGTTCCTCTGAGAAAAGGTTCTGTATTTCTATTTTGTATTCCTACGGATTTCATGTGCATTTATGGGCCTTATGTTTCCTTTCAAACGAAGTTTCTCTTTTATTTTAAGACTATTTTTATTCGTTTCTTTTTCTGTTGCCTTTAATCATGCATGTATGCTGTACTTTAATTTTGAATGCACAAATTTGGTTTACTTGTATTCTGTTAGATTTTTTATATCAGTTATTTGACACTATTTTATCAAATACTCATGATAACTATCATCAGAGGATCAGATGTAGCCTTTCAAGCTTTTCTGTATGTTGTTAGTGATTTAAAATTTTGATTGCAGAACAATCCATGCTTCCAACGCAACTAATTCCTTGCTTGTTGTGAGACTGGGCTCTAATGTTTATCTGGAGGCTTGATACAGCAGTGATTTCAGGGTCTTTGTGCTGTTTGGATGTAAATCTAGTTTAAGATTTACGATCCACTTGAACTAGGTCCTTGCTTTTGGTGAGATTAGAGTCTTATGTTTATCTAGTGGCTGGATAGGGCAGTGGTTTCACGGTCTTTGTGCTGTTTGGATGATCTATTTTAACATTTATGCTCTCTCTCTCTACCCCCCACCCTCTTTCCCCCTGCCCAACAAGTACAAAAGACCCCAAAATCTGTTCTTCCTATTAATTATGGTGAGACTGTCGATAAGCTCTACTCCATCTGCACAAGTAAACTGGTAATTTGTGAATGCTTTTAACACGAAGCTGAAGATGTTGCTCAATAGGCAAACAATCAATCTTCTTATCTTGGATTGAAGGTTAATACTAATATTGTTCTATGGACAACTGATTCTTGACTAACCAAGATGAGGAAAGGATTTGGTGCTGGACTTTAAAGAGTTCATCAGTGCTGGTGCATGATTGATTTGGTCAAACATTAGAAGATGGCCCTACTTGCATAATATTTCTAGATGAGTGCTATCTGTGGGCTACCTTATCAACATCACCATTAAATAAGGGCTCGTTTACTAGTGGGTTGGGTTCGACCCCAATCTATGAAAACATTAGACAAAAACAACCAGTTGGAACCTGCCTTCTGCAGGTCTGAACTGTTGGACTTGCTGGTCTGAGCAGTTTCCACGTGAACTGGCCAGTTATGATGCTTGCTTGCCATTTTTGTCTGGTAGATTTGATGAGCTCTTTCTTTTCATAAAAATATTGTCTGTTCTAGCTGGAAGTCTGTTCTTTTGTCTTTAAAAGCATTTGTTACGACAAAAACATTTTCCTCAATTTCAGTTGTGGATATTATTCTATGGTCGGAATAGTATTTCGGGGCGTAAACTATTTAAGACAGTTGTTGGGACTGGGAAAGGGATAAGGATTGAGAGCAGGGGGTTGTCAAACGCTGGATTGAGATCCCCAAATGTTAGGATTCTTGATGCTAATCTTTTTGGGATCTTGTTCCCAACCTTAAAGAGTATATATAATATAGGAATATATATATACTTTTTGAAGCAGAGATCTCTTTATTTATAGCCAACAAGTAATTATAAAGTACAGTTACATTGCTAGATGGTTATAAATAAAGAAAATCATCAATTGGGTCATTATCTCAGTCTTTAAGATAGGGATCGAGATCCCAATATTTTAAAATTAAGTATGTTTTGAATATCCCTTTCCTGGAGCGAGATTCCAAACCTGGATCGCCACCTGGATGGGTAGATATACCTGCAACTATGATTTAGAAGTTAACTTGGTGGAGTTGATTTGAAACAGTGTTTGGTTAAGGTGGTAGGAAGAAGGAATTGGGATTTTCGAGCAGGTGATTGGATGCTTCGTTAGTGGCAGAGCCTTGTAGTGTAGGAAGGAGTTGGAACTTGAGAAGTGAAAACAAATATTGAAGTGACAGTAAAGGCAGATGGTCAACTTATATCTCTAAAAGAAAAGTGACAGTAAAGGCAGATGAAGTTAGAAATAGCATGCTGAGAGGAGTTCAGACTCAACAGAGGACATGGGTGACTTGATGTACTTTATCCTAATGGATGACAGAAAGGTATACTGCCTATTGTGGTTCTCATTTGAATGGGATCAATAGGTCTAATAAATAGCTTATGTACTTCAGTGAGCCAAATTTCAAATGAAATCAGAACAAATTTTCCTCCAGCAGCACTATGTAAAGGACATAGGTTTATATAAGGTCACAACCTTCCTTGTAGAAGTAAGGTTACAATAATCTACGTCATCCATTTTATTTGAATGGTGCAGATCTGATACTATCTTAAAAGATGTGCCACTGTTTGACAGTGTCTTAAAAGGTGTATTAGATTACACTATCCAACTAAAATGGATGGTGTAGAGCGTTGCAACCTCACTTTACAAGTAAGGTTACCTCCTCATATAAAGCATATCCCTATATAAAATACTGAGGCGGTGTATCAAATCTATATTGTTCAACTAAAATGGATGGTGTAGAACATTACAGCCTTACTTCGACAAGTAAGATTGTCACCTCAAATAAACCACACCCCTCTGTAAAACACTGAAAAATATTACCCATTCTTAGGTGGCCATCTTTCTACCTCTAGTTCTGCCTGACTGTAGGGTAGAATTGCCTCCGGTTGGGTCATTAACAGTCCTCTCTCCGTCTCTGGAATTTCTTCACTTACACATATTACCTGTTTTTGCTTGACTAATAACTAACAATGCCTCATCTTACCTACCTGTTGAAACTAAGCTGCCTCCTTATTGGTCCTGAGGGTCTTAGAAATAGATTGGCGGGTAGCCATAATCTTCATGTAGAAGCAGCCCACTGCAAGCTGCTCAGAGTTAGTGTACTCAATTTGCATCTTTGTGGTATCAATATGGCTAAGAGACTGTCTTGGCATGCAAATGAAATTTATCCTATTCTTTTTCCCTTTCTGTGTTATACAAGTGAATTTATGGATTTACATGAATAAATGAAGTTTATCTGAGACTGGTGAAATGGTTTTAGAAATAATTGTCAGTCATTTATTTCTAGGAAGTAATTTGCGTTTCATATGAAGAAAGTAGTTTGTTAAGGGAAAATTTGATTTTGAAGCACATCACTTGTTGCAATGAATAGCAAAGAAGAAAGGTTCATATTTCAGGCACTGGATATTCGGCGATAATTAAGGGTGTTTCAGTTTGTACTGTCTTTTTCATGTAATACATAATACTCATTCAACAATAATGGTGACATCTCTATTTTTGTGTTTGAAAATCTAAATTACTTGGTTGCCATTTTTCTACTCATCCCGTGCAACATAATTGCTATTAGTTACGCTGGCTGCGCTATTGAGAACTTTGTAAACCATTTCCTAATCGCAGGGAACTTGGTATGTTGAATGATTCTAAAAAGATGGGGAACATGCTTGATCAAACAAGATTTCATGTATTCCAGCATGGAGATCGAGGTAAGATGCCTTATAGCTTATGGTTGATAAAATTTGGTACAAAAAGGCAACATTGTTAGTGATAGCAGCTTTCAAGTGGGAGATGTTGAAGATTTGTTCTTTGAATTCTCATAAATTGCATGCCCATCAGTGATCATCGACTTTACCTTTGATTGTTTTTTGTCTTGTGGAAATGGCTTGAAATTCCCAATGTCTTCCAGCAAGGTTTAAGATCAAAATCATCCATCTCTTCATTGATTGGATTTGGTCTTTGAATCTGGATCTTTTGGGCATGCACAAAATATCCTTATAGAGTTCTAAGGAATGAGCACGAGGCCTAGGTGTCAGGGTGGTGGAGCCACAAAGTGACATCTTGGGCTCTACTCTTATGTGCTAAATACCTGTCAATGTGTCCCAAAAAAAAAAAAATTATCCTAGAGTTCTAGTCCAATTTTACTAATGCAGTATGAAAACAGTTGTTACTACATGCAGCAAAACATGCTCAGCAAGTGCCATTTAGGATAGTCTGTGACAAAAAGAAAAAAAAAAAGAAGAAAAAGGTTTTCTCTGACATCTACTCAGACTTGAATAACTTTCAACTGGTGAAATAAGAAGTTCCAAATATATAAATTTTTTCTGTTTAATTGGGAAGTGTTACATGCAATCACAGATGCATGCTATCCTTTTATTCTTCAGTTATGAGTTTGTGCTTTATTTGAAGATATTTGAACTTCATATGGTGAAATGTTGATGTGCAGCGAAGACTATTGCAATTATGTATGCATGAAATTGTGGTATACGCTGAGGGGTTCACATCTGCCTCACTTTATATGCTGTTTTTTTTTTTTAAAAAATTATAAATGTATGTATTTCTAGAGTTATTATTTTACAATAGTTCTCACAATTTAAAATTTTTCTTATGTTCAGGATTTATGAAATTAATAGGTGTCCAAGAGCTAGGTGGTAGAATTTTAAACAGGAGAAAATAGACATTTAGGAATAAATTGGTAAAATGAGGAAAATAGAATTCTTAGCACAAAGCTGATATTATATGGAATGAGATGGTAGATTGTATTAATAAAGTGGCAAAAGAAGTTTTTGGGAGAATCTAGATGGAAAAAAAAGTTTGATAAGGAAACTTGGCGGTATAGTGATGAGGTTCAAAAGGCTTTTAGTGAAAAATGATCATGTTATAAAGCTTGGCAATGTAATAGAAATGATCAAAACTTAGAACATTATAAAAATGCTAAGAAAAATATTAAGATGGTAGTAAGGAAGACTAAACTTAAGGCATATAATGATCTATAAAATAATTGTGGACAAGAGAAGGTGATAAATGTGTCTTCAAACTAGCAAAAATTAGAGAGAGGAAGTGTAGAAATCTAGATCATATTAAATGCATTAAGAATGAGGATCAGAAGGTATTGGTGAAGGATGACGTGGTCAATGAAAGGTTGTGAATTTGTTTTAACTGTTAAATGACGAAAACTTTGGGGACACATTATTAGCAGAAACCTTCGACGTAAATAAGGCCAGAGGTCATAGCTATATTAAATGGATTAAGATATCTGAAGTGAAAGAAGCTTTGAGAATGATGAAGATAGGAAAGGCTTTAGGACAAGATAGGAAAGGCTTTCGAAGTGCAAGAGACACATTGGTATATTTTGGGTGATCAAGCTATTCAACAAAATGTTGAGAATAAAGAAAATGTTAGATAAATAGAGAAAAAGTATTGTGGTACGTATTTACAAGAACAAAGGAAATATACAGAATTGTACGAACAATCGAGGGATTAAAGTTGTGAGCCACACTATGAAGTTGTGGGGGAGAGAGTTGAGCAATGGCTAAGACATGAAATGAGGTATCAGAAAATCAGTTCGACTTTGTGTTAGGGAAGTCAACAATTGAGGCTATGTTTTCCTACTTAGGCAACTGATTGTGAAGTTTAGGGGTGAAGGAAGGGACCTCCATATGGTCTTTATTGATTTGGAGAAAGCATACGATGTGGTGTACCTAGAGAGTTAATTTGGTGGGTGGCGTAAAAGAAAGGAGTCTCTAGAGGATATATTGATGTAGTGAGAGATATGTACAAGGGAGCGGTAACTAGCGTGAGGACATTAAGTGGAGAGACAAGTGAGTTTTCAGTGACAATAGGCCTACATCAGAGATCAACATTGAGCCCATATCTCTTTGTTTTGTTTATGGACGAGTTAACTAGGTATCTACAGGATGAGGTCCCATGGTGCACATTGTTCGCGGATGACATAGTTTTGATCAATGAGACTACAAACGACATGAATGCAGATGCTCTAGAATTTGAAGATTTAAGTTTAGTAATAATAGCAGTAGAAAACAGGAAGTAGTTAAAATTGATGGCCAATAAATGCCTAAAAGAGATTATTTTTGATATCTTGGGTCTATAATCTAGGAGGAGAGAATGAGGAAAATGTTGCTCATAGAATTAGAGCTAGGTGGGAGAAGTGGAGATGTGCATCCAGACTTTTATGCGAACACCGCATACCAATGAAATTAGAGAAGAAGTTTTATAAGATGGCGGTAAGACGAGTTATGCTTAATGGGGCATAATGTTGAGCGGTCAAAAAACAACACATTTATAAGATGAATATAACTGGGATGAGGGTATTGAGATAGATGAGTGGCAAGACAAAAAGGATAGAATTCAGAATGAGTACATATGGGGGAATTTAGGGGTGACTTCAATAGGCGATAAGATGAGGGAAAGTAGACTTGGTGGGTTGGCCATGTGTAACCTATTCCTAATACAATATCGGTTAGGACGGAAAATTTGGTTCAAGCGGAAGACTCTAAAATGACAAGAGAAATACCCAAAAGAATATTGATGGAAGTAGTGAGAAGATATAGTGACTTATGGTCTAAGGGTATACTCCTTGATAGAGCAAAATGATAGAATATTATTTATGTAGCTGACCACAAATAGTTGGGATAAGGTTCGGATGATTATGATGATGAGTAGTTTCTATTTAAGGTGGTTTCTTGGGTGATTGTGTAAACAAATTTCAATCTTATTTCCTTATTATTTTATAAATAATTTGAGCAAAAAAATTCTTCGACATTTCTATTTTAACCCCTACTGAAATGAAGTCAACTATAAGTTTTCTGCAAATGGTTGGTAAACTCTTACTATCAGAAAGCATGACGTGCTGTGCTTTCTCCTAGTTGTTTGGACCAGTTTCTTTAGATTATGGATTTGTGTGCAGGCTTGTGCATATCAGATAATCAAAATGATTTGAAATTGATTTTTCTATCATCTTTTCTGCTAGCATATGAATTCAACATTTTAATTGGATGTGATTTATTAGTTCGTGTTTTGTAGCTGTTGTTTACCAACATGCATTTTTTTTCCTCCAATTAACTACTTACTGTTTAATATCAATGGTTTTTGCTAATGTCCTCTTAATAGTTTTGATATGTTCATGCATATGTTATTCATGTCCTGGTCATTGCATACAAGGCCCAGCTGGGTATAATTTGGCCAATTGCTTATTGTATTTCAGGAAGTAATACAAGTGAAAGAAGCCCATCAAGAGAAAACAGTATAGGAGATCAGATGGCCAAATTGCTGCCCCATGAGAGTACAAATTCAGTGATTGCATCTCTTTTAAAACTCCCACTGAGACGCCCTTCACTCTTTGATAGTGATGAGGAATAAGTGACCAATGTTCATTGTTTACAAATTCCTGTCATGTTCACCATCATCATAGTCATCAGCATTATGGTTATCTTTATTATTTGTTAATATTACTGCTTGTACTTATTTAAAGGGCATCATCATCATCTCGATTTTTTTTTTTTTTAAATATCCCCTATAGTTTGTATAATATAAGAAAGGGATTGTATATTATTATGAGACTGTTTTCCTTTGTTTCAAGGAAGTCACAATTGTTATTAGCCATTAGATGTCAAATTGGATGTCTTGGTTGTGTCAAAGTTTTGAGAATTTTTTTGTTTTTTTTTTTAACTTTAAATCTAGTCAATGACACAATCACAACGACCCGATTTGGAATCCGAGTATAAGAGCAATTTGTGACTTCCTTGTATTAAAAGATAGTAGTCTCTTTGTATACTTTTCTTAGGATGGGGTTTATCTATGAGTCGGTCGATACATATGCGCCCCCACACCCTCCCCCCCCCTTTTCATTGTAGAAGATTTTTTTTTTTAATTTTTTTTTTTTGTAGATTCATCATCTAGGTCAAGGTGATTATAAATATGAAAAGAAAAATAAACTTTTAAAATTAAAACTATTATTTTTTAGTATTGTTTTATGCACCGTCTATATCTTATTTATGGACAATACACTTCAGATAACATGGATGTTTGTTAGTCCGTGGGCTCTTGCACCTGCTGACTTGTGAAACAATTTTCCCTTTTCCTATAAAAAATGTCTCAATACTTGTTTCTCATGTTATGCTCTATCCCGTTTTATTGGAGTGTATATTGAATTTTAATTATTTTTAATATAACAAATTAAGCTCAAATTTTTGGTGACCATGTTTCTCATTATCAGACATTTGTATAAAAAATAAAAAAATGCAATTCAATGAAAACAAAAGAACGAAAATACTTTGGATTTATTTTTAAAATTTTAGATTATTAATTTTTTGTATTTTGATGATAAGAAGTATGAGCACCGAAAATTTGAGCAAAGTAAAATCAAATACATATGTGACCTCAAAAAGTGGGACATAAGCATAAAATATGAAATACTAGGAATTTTAAATTCCACAACATATATTTATGAAAATTTCCTTATGAATTGCCAACTCTGAATCGTCGCCATTTTCTCCACATTTATACAATACGCGGTCCAAATGTATAAAGCATCCATTTAAAAACAATTGTAACTAGTGGGTCAGATGTTTTTTTAATATAATTATTATTTGTAATTTTCATTTTTTTTTTTTTTTAATATATTCATGATCTTCATGTTAAAGAAAATATATTCTCTAAAAATTAAGATCAAATTTATTTATTGCCAAGCTCGCATTTCTACATTGGCCGCATGCTAACTGCGTCCATATCTAATTGCATGCTGTGTTCCCAACCCCACAAACTTGCTTAGGCACATCTTTACGGGTACGGATGCATATTGCGTGCTGCATTTTGTATGTTATTGTTATACTTCAATTTTATTTCTGGAAAAGCTGAGCATCGGTGCTGATTCCAAATAGTGGAATGTTGCATACCGGTGGATATTTGAAACGACGGATCAATGAGGTGGATCGTCTAGCCCATTACTGGATTACCCATTGGATGAGTAGGTGGATCGTCTAGCCCATTACTGGATTACCCATTGGATGAGTCCGAATTGTTACTGGATTACCCATTGGATGAGTCTGAATTGGTGATTTAGAAAAATCTTAAGAAGTAAAAAAATTAAATGGAAAATTATAGGTGCGGCCCTTAACCAAACTTTCTAGGCAGGCGACTCTCCAATACTCCGTAAATTACATTCTCAACTCCAAAACTTTTATATTTATGACCACCTCGCTAAGTTAAAAAAGTACGTTTTTTTGGATCCAAATGTCTCTTTTTAGGCTACATTTTCCACTCTTTCTAAGCTGGTCCGGCTTAACTTGTTATAGAGCTGGTCTTGCACATTTTTTGTGCTAGATCAATCGAGACCTACACAACTTGAATATATAACTGGTTTGGCACATTTTGTGTCGAACAAGCTCTATATTCAATGTGCTGGACTGGCACCAGCCCAGACACATTTTTGTACTGGACTGACATGTTAGGCATCATGTTTTGGAATCATGGGTTAAAATAGTAGGTATTCTGGTAAAAAAAAAATCACTTTTTTATTTTGGGGGGGCACCAAATGGATGGTTTATATTTTATTTTTTTGGAGGGAACTCATATTGACCACATGTAAATAAAAAATTAAATTTTATTTTTTTTAAGATTGATTATTGAGACGAAAAGAGTATATACAAAATTTCAAATTATACAAACACCCAAACACGGCTTTCTAAAAGTGTGATTTCATTATATTATAATAACATGATGACATGGTATCATTTCCCGACTAAAGAATTATATTGATTCTAGGTGATTTGTTTTTACTTTATAAATATTAGTCACTGCACATGCTCTAATAAAGGTAATAAAGGCAAAAAGGTCAAGATTGAGTGAAATAATTAGAAACTTGGAAGCGTACATCACATATCTTTCTTGCTGACCTCCAGTCTATGAAAATAAAAGATCGTAACAAAATTATCATCCACAACTCAAAATTTAAGTTCTCTGTAAAGAGAAGATGGATTAAAAACCAAAAACGCAACTGATTAAAAGATTCACTCATAGCCAAAAGAGACGACCTCTTCTGTCACATCCAAGATTTCCTCGACCTCCACTTCCTTCGCCTCGTACTCTTCCTCCTCATCACTCAGCTCCCCATCTCTCAACTCTTGCCTCAAAGCCTTCTCCTCTTCGTGGAGCCGCTTCCACTCCTTAACCCACCGGTCCCATTCTTCATGAAGCTGCCTCCTCTTCTCCCTATCCTGCTCACTGAGCAACAATGAAACATCCTGGTCCTCTGCTTCATACTTCTTACTGTACTTCTTGAGGTTCTTTGCAATCTCCTCTTCTTTGTCAGGAGTCAGGAATGAAGGTGGCCTTGGGCGCCACAGGAACTGTTCAAGAAATCCATTGAATCGTTTAGAGATATTATAGAAGGCTACAGTGTTCGTTTCAAAAAAAAAGAAGAAGAAGGCTATAATGTTCCAAGAGTAGGTTTGTTGAGTTTTCTTTTTTTTGAAGTACCTGATAGAAGTGGTCTCTTGAGATCCTGTATAGGAGTTTGCCATGGAAAGACCAGATGTTGAATCCATTTTCCATCTCATGCACAGAAGTAACGGATGTTGCTACGTATCTGCATTTCCCAAAAAGTTAACCAAAATCATGCAAGCAACTATCAAAGAAATCAAGATGCCTGAAAGTGCGAGTGAGTGGGTTGGGTGGGGAAGGGCGGAGCAGGAGGGGGAGGGAGAGGGAGACAGAGGAGCAAAAGAAGTGGATAACAAGCACCAATATTGTATGATGTATACTACTCCTGATAGAAGTGGGTAACATGCACCAATATTGTATGTTATATAGTACTCCTAAGGGACAATAACTTTCCATTTTCGAAAGAGAACCTTGGAGACTGAGTTTATCCAGGTCAATGGCTAGAAGGCACCACTGCAGTATTTTCCACTCTCTGTCCCTGCAAAAGGATGTCTGGTGCTTTTTTTGTACATAGGTGTACCAAAGTGCATAGTATACATCTATACAAGAAGTTTCAAAACAGGCTGCTCCACCTTACAATGGAATCCTAGCCTATAAAAATGGCCATGAAATGCTCACTATGGGCTGCCATACCTTCCAGTAGGATCCCACTCAACATCAGTGGCCATGAAATGCTCACCGACAGCCATGGTCTCAAGCTCATCAACGTTGTAGAATTCAAGCTGCCCATTGAGACCTTTCAAGCCAGCAAGGATGATAAATCGACCAGCTGGTGACCAATACAGGGCATTTGCTTGCTTGCCTTTTATTGTTGCGAGTTTTGAGACCCGTGCACTTCGCATAGAGTAGAAGCTCACATCGGGTCTGGGGTTATCTCCATGAATCACTGCAAACCTGTGGCCTTTGGGCTCCCATGCAAAGGCAAGGATTTTGTCATTCTTGTTTTCAAGCTCCAAAACCTCAATTGGAATGTCCCTCTCTTTTATGCGGAAGAGCTCAAATCCAGTGTACGTGCTCTTCTTGGTCTTCGTGTACCGGTCTACTTTGACGGCAAGATACTCTCCAGTGCTTTGCCAGAATATCTTACAGTCACTAACACTAAACAGGTTCTTCTGCCTCAATTCCTCGCGTCCAGGAATTTGAACGAGACTAACCTGCACTCAGAGAACCCAAATGTGTATACACCAGAAGACACAGATTCAGGTATAGAACAGGAAGCTTGCATCTACTAAGAATACCAGGAAAAACTATCATTCAGAAAATGACCATAGGCAGCTTGACGTCAGGCTCAAAGAGTAACTAAAAAACCTCACTAGTGGTTTTCAACTTACTCTTGCTGGTTGATTCCCACCACCACCTTCAGGGACGAAGAGTGCCAATATGGGATCAGTTGGAGACCAACTGAAGTCAATAACATTTTCTACTTTAATAGACTTCTTATCAAGAAGACTAAAGGTCTCTGTTTCATAGACACTGATTGCATTTTTACCAATTCTAGCAAAGTATTTGTCTTCGCTTCCTCCGCTCCATCTAGAAAAACAAGCAATTGAGCAATGATATGAAAATAAGACTGGGAATATAACAATGATAGTGTTAGTAAAATCTGTTACCTGAACACAGGCCATGAGACACCAGACACACCTCCAGTTCCACCAGTGGCAAAATCATCAGCACTACCTTTGAATTCTCTCAATACTTTTCCAGTTCTCGCATCAAAAATAACTAGTGCAACTTTCTGAAAGATGCACATGTGATCATTATGTTAGATATATTTATCTTTTTGACCACCAAGTCACAACCAAGGAACCAATTATTTCCCATCTTCTGCGATACAAAATGAAGTACCTGTGAATCCCGAGGATTGCTGGGTTCATGGCTGCTGTACGTGACTAGATATTTCTCCCCAGATGAGAAATCAATAAGTTTAACCTGTGCAAATGTATCATATGTTGTAAATTATAAATATGGTCTGATATCAAATTTGTAACAGATAAACAATGTGAGGAAAGCTGACCAGGGGATGGGCATAACGCATTAAACGGTTAAATGTAGTGGCACCTCCCCAAACAGCCGCCCCCTGCCTGTGTACGGTTGCCAAGTATGTCCCAAGTGGAGACCATTGAACAAAACTCTCGGTCCAAAACTGCCAAATACCAAAATGAACACTGCAAAAACTGAGAACATGTTCCCATAAATGGCACCAATATGTGGAAACATAATATAGCAAACTTGTACATAATTCACCATTTCAAGTGGACAAAGGTAAGTATGCAGAAATTAAACACTAAACATATTAACTATTATCTATTACACAAGGCGGGGCAAATATGGTAATGAGACCCACGTACACATTGGTATTTCTTGAATGGATAAACACAATTTTGCTTCCATTTCAGATGTCATTAGGCATGTTTGGCTCAGAAGCATCTGAACCATCCATTGAGAAAGTAAGATGCTTTAGAAGGCACTGCAAACTGTAGAAAACCATGTTTCCCACAAATAGCTTTCTAAATCTTTCATTTATCTGAAGATTTCCAAATCAAGATAAAGCCAGTAAATAAGCCAACTATCATTGCATACTGCCTATTAACTGAAAATATCATGATTAACTGACAACTGCAATTTAGAAGAAAAGAGCTAAACATGTGCAAAACGACAAGAAAAAATTGTGGTTCTCTGCAGAAAGGAACAGCTATGCAAAAGCCATGAGGTTGTGCCAGAAGTTGAACTGGGAACTTTGGTGCTATCAAGTCATAGAGACTGGCCAGATTAGAATTGACAAGAGTCACACTGTAGCCATAAACAGTGTTTATAGTATAGAGTGCTCTGAACAGAAGTTCAGTGGTCACCAGACTAGGATCTGTACGTCTGGCATTTCTGCCAAGACATCAAGGAGGTTGACATTTTCTCTATATTTATTCCTCTATCAATATAAGGATGTTAAAAAATCTATGGCATCCTAAAGGAGATTTCTTAATAGGGAAGGAAAGGCTAGATGATGTTGCCAGAATGGCTGATGAAATCAGTGGTACAAAACAGGCGTCCATTCTAATCATCCAACCAGGAAAGCTTATCACAGCATTGACAAAAAATGACCCTTTTACATGGTCATTTAACTTTATCTCAATTTCTTGTTCGGAAAGATGCCTTTTGGTGGCTTGCAAGGTCCTAGGTACAGGGCCACTAATCGCTTCTCTTTTACTCTTAAGAGGTCCAAAACATATTAGAGAACAAAAAGATGCATCCCAAACTAGGGTGGGCACTGAAGCCAATAATGTTCAACCTAACCAAACACGTTGTTGAGTGTTTCAAGGTGATTTCTGTTGAGTTTTGTGGCTTTTAAAGGCCTAAAGAGCTTGTAAAAATAATATTTATAGTGGAAATGCACTTCAGTGGGAGTGTATGTATTGATTGACCAACGGTTGGGTAATTTATGGCCCTGATCATGTCTCCCTTAGCCCTAGGAATGTGGCAGAACTGAAAAAGGTTTGCAGTAGGTCCTCTTTGTTGAGGTCAGAGAGATGCCCAGGGAGCATGTTTGTTGGTCAGGAGAACTGTGTGGTCTCCTGTGTGCTGTTGTAGGCCGATGAGAGTAAGGGCTTTGGCTCAACAAATTTCCACACAGCATGTACAAATGGAAGTTGCATGGAAGCTTCCCTATAGAGGGACATGTATACATGTGTGCATAGAGAGTGCCCCTTTTGCACTGTGGTGACAAGTGCTAGACTTGCTCTTAAAGGGGGGAGAACTGAAATCCGCATTCTAGGATCATGCTCCCAGTGTTTTTTAATCCAACTTTGACAAGCCAATCATAAGCCCCTACAAAGAGTTTGTGGGTCATGCGACTTTTGTTGGGTTAACAATTGTGGATCATGGCTTCTAAGGCGAGTGAAGTGCCCTTATTTTTGCTAATTTTAACCCATTAGTACCAGTCCACTTCTAGTATATTTTATTATGTTTTATAATTTTTTAAATATTATTTTCAGAATTTTTTACATAAATTGTGTTGTGACTACATTAAAAGGGTATTTCTGAAATTACATAACTTTAGCACATGCGGGGATCAAGGATACAGCCCCCATGTGTGTGACAACCATGTGGGGCCCACATGGGCTCCTAGGGTAGCACGCCAAGGGTGCACACCACCTTTTTAGCAAAAAGATGGCACCCCAATTTGTTTTAAACTTTTTTTCTTCATGCCACTTTTGGGGAGAAAAGGTGACATGCCACTTTCTTGGAAGATTTGTGCACATTTATTCTAATTTTTTTTTGGCATGCCACTTTAAGTGGGAAAGGGCGGACACACCTTGTTTCTAAGAAGAGGGGGAGGGGGGACGCCCCACTTTCTTATTATTGTTAAATAATTTATTTTTGTTAATAGATAAGAAATCTAATTTAATTAGATTTGAATTTCTATCCTTGTGGGAAATCTAGAGATCAAGATAATCTTTAAGTTTGATTGTATTTCAAGTTTAAATATGAGACATAGATAAAGTTTAAGTTTGATATTTCAATTTTATATAGGAGTTGGACTTGGGGTAAAATTCTAAAGGAATAAGGTTTCGTAATTCCTATCTTTCCACACAAAATCATAATGGCTAATCTATGAGATGGATGACTCTGATAAATCCCTCTCACCCCACATATTTCCTATTTATCCTAAAAGTCTAGCTAGAAATTGGATAAGGCAATACTTAAAAGGAATCATATTCAAATTAAGAGATAGATTTCCTTCTATATAAAGACCATGTTTGAACATCTGTCAAACTCATTACAAGATCTTTCTCTCTTAAGACAAGATCCTCTCTCTCACACCACTCTTTCCTCTCTTCCTTCATGCACCAAAAAAGGGAGATCTCTCTCTCACACCACCCTCTCTCTCCTCTAGTTTTCTATTCACACCACCCAAAGAGAAAGAAACATAGGTGGTGGCACGTGAAAACCCTAGGGCTAGGGTTTATTGATTTTTGAAGGAAAAAGAGGTATATGCAACTTAGAGTGAAATAAATTCTCAAATTCAACCCTAATTTGTTCCCATTGGGTTTTATATAAACCCTACTTTATTTTTGAGCTCTTTAAAACCCTAGAAAAAGAAGTATTGCCCGTAAAGCTTCTCTATCTAATAATTTTCAGCAACACCTTTAGGAGTAAAAGTGCGTCATTGGTCAGAGAATTGGGTGTGGGGTGTACCAAGTCCTGGTAGGGTAACTCCAAGCATCTTCCAGTAAGTCTTCCAAGTAGTTTTAAATTCATTTACAATATTATTTTCTATTTTCTGTAAATTTCCAGGAACTTATTTTGTGCTAAATATTATAGTGGGAGTCAGTTTAAGATAGTTTCTATTTCTCTTGGCAGTGAAAATAAAAGTCCGTGTAAGTGGATTTCAGGTATTTGGAATAAAAATAAAAAGAAAACTTTTGAATTTAATACTTTGACTTCCATAGAGCCACACCTTTCAATGGTGCGCATCTGGGGAATCGAACCCCCAGTCAATACTGTGGGAGGGTACTATGATACCACTACACCAGATGCGCACCAATAAAAAGTGTTGCTATGTGGAAGTCAAAGTATTAAATTCAATTTCCGCTCTCCCTCTCTGGACTAGTATATAACAAGACTCATGGTAGGGGCAGAAGAGATACTCAAGGTCCCCATTCCTTCCCTCATATGTGCTCCTAAGCCCAACCTACCCTCCTCACCATATAGTGATAAAATCTAATGGCATATTTTAGAACCATAGTCCATTGGGTCACCACTGTTGAAAAAAATAAAAAATTGACGGTGATGGAAAGAGAATGGCATCCAATGTTTGGTCATGCTCTCTTCTGGTGGTGTATCCAATCACTATCCATCATTGATAGGATTGCAATGATCAAAAGGACTATGGATTTTCCATAGTCCATTGGATTATAGCACATTTCTCCGTCAGCAGTTGGCTATCCTATATTCGTCCTCCATGTCTTTTTGAGCCCCTCATCTTGTGTTTCGGATACTCTTTAATTTCCCATAGGAGCTTCTCTCTCTTCATGTTATTTTTGTCATCCAGCTTTTACGGGCAAAATCGAACTCTCTTAGAACCAAAGTTATCCATGACATCTCTAAAATTGCTAGCTGCTTCCAATTTTCTCGACAGGATTCCATACCCAAGAAAACTCGGTCAACCCTCACTTCTTTTGCTGAAGACGACAGTTCCTCATAGGCTCTGAACATGAATTATTGCCGTCAGTTCCCTGTTTTGTGATTTCAGTGGTCACCTTCAATATATCAAGACCATCACTGTTAATAATTATATAAATATCATCCTTGCTCCTTAAATCTAGTCTATAATTAACCTCAACTGCCAAAACAACTCCATTACCCTTTTCTTCATCTGCAGTGTTCCCACCAAGCTCTTCCTCAAGTTAACCATTTCTGCTTCTTTTAAACAAAACCTTTAGAGCATCTCTCCATGATTTCATTAGCCTGCTTGTCAATACATGGTCTATACCTTACAATGCCCAATACAGGTAGCGAGATGGAAATTGATACACCGAACGGGAATACAACTCGGCAATTCTCAAAAGCCAGGACATGCAAAAATAAACAAGAAATGCATTCTGCAGGCAAATAATTGTAGTCATGACTCCATAATTACATGTGTATCATACTCAAATTCCTTCTCCTAAATAGCCCCTGGAGAACTGGCAATACCCCTCAACCTGCTGTTTGTCTGTTTCATACTTGTCATCTATTTCAACCTTGTAACCACTAGTAAAAAACTTAACAATCTTGGCATATGAATACAGAAATACAATCATATTCTAAACATACAAGTATCTTGATGGCAGTAGAGGTGAGAAATAAAAGAGAAACTCTTTTAGTACATCTATTGACATATGTTGGCTACTACAATACTTAGAAAGGACGAGAAATGGGGAGGCTAGAGTTATCATAATCACACAAATAATTTTGTGATAGTAATAGCCTCCACAACCTAGCATGCAAATAATCTCAAAGCACTATCCAGATTTGGAGCAGTTCACAAGCATTACATGATAAATTCACCAGAGGACAACTTATATACAAGGAACTACTAAATAAGTTGGCAGACTGATGCACGGACAAAAAAACCCAACAGGAAAACAAAGAGAAGACACTCTCTTTCTCTCTCTACGATAAAATTTTATTTCATTCACTAAAAGCCACCTTTTACAATGGGATGCACCCCCGTGTATTACTCCTAAAACCTCCTAAAATATCTCGTTACTAAATTAGAAAAAACAAACCCTTCTTCCTAATAGCTAATTGCTATCTCAAGTCCATATCTTTTGGAAAGGCTCCTCCCAAAACAACTCAATCAAAAAAAGAAAAAAAAGCTTATCAAAACGGACTAATCTTCATAAAAGATTAATTTGTTAAAAATAAAATAAAACGCACTCTTTTATCCTTAACAAACCCTTTACTAAAAGAAAGGGTTCGCTCTCTAAAAAAAGGGACTTAATTATCCTATATTAAACTTACAAAGGATAAGGATAAGCCTCCTTAACAAAATAAAAGATGCTCTTAAAACTAAATACAAGCTTCCCTAAAAACCAAAATGTAGCCCTAGCACCTAAAATAAATATAATTCCTAAAAACAATAACCCAAAAATCTACCCACATCTTTGAAAAAAAAAATAAAAATAAATCTTTAAATCAACCCATTCTTGATCTGGAAATCTACATCATTCTCCCCTGGTTGAAGAAAACTGACCCTCGAGTTTTAAAACGAGCTAGGATGAATTCTGCGTTAAACCCATGATCTTCTTCAACTTTGAAGGCAATATTCAAACTTTTCCATCTCTAGATACACAACCACTCGATAGGATATATGTTCATCATCAATCTTTTCATCATCAGCCTCCATGTGTTTTATGTAATTCTTGATCATATTCCCAAATCCTCATATGCTGTATTTCTAGCCTCCTTGCTTTGGGCCTCCATCACCTTTTTCTTTCTTTCTTTTTTTTTTTTTGAAGAACGTTAACATTATATTACTGAGACAGTAATGGCTACAATGGGAGAAGACCGAGAGCCCCCACTGAGGGTGGCTCTTGGTAAAAAATACATCAGTGAGCCATATACAAAAAAGGCTTATAAAACTTGCTCGGTTACAATGATTTACAAGGATTGTCCAAAAAATAAAACAAAAACCAAGGAAGCTACGAAGTGTGCCTGTGGTCCATGACAAAAAAAGGAGTGGGCCTACTGTTTTCTTCCCTTGGATTCTAGCTCCCTCTTTCGCCATCAGATCTGCAAGCTCGTTGGATGTCCTCCATGTATGCTTCCAGGAGACGTCTATATCCCTGCAATGTGAGTAATTTCATAAAAAATGGTAGTAAGTTGCCATGGGGGAGGGGTCTTCCCTCTTGCCCAAGAGATAGTATTTTGGGAGTCTCCTTCCACTATAAGGTATGGTCCCCAAGATGGGTTGAACTTTTTCAACCCTAGTAGCAATGCCATAGCCTCTGCATATTGGGAGTCATCAGTACCGAGGTTCTCGAAATAAGTTAAGAGAATTTCTTGGTGGTGATCTCTAAAGACTCCCCCTGTAGGAGACCTTGAATAAACATAGAAAAATCAGCAATAAGCACCTCGACACAAGCATTTTTGAAGAAATCCTAAGGTTTTTTCCCACCTAGGGCTCAAGCCTTAAGCTTCTTTTACAAGACAAAGTCTCTCTTTTCTTAAAGAAGAATACATGAATGACTCTCCAGCCCATCCATACCCTTATTTATATTGAAAAATTATTGTTTTAGACAATATTTGTCCATACAATTAACTTTTAACCAAAAGGTTCTAACTTAAGTATAACTTCAAACTAAACTCCCTAATTTTAATTAAAATATCTAAAAAATCCCAAACTGGTCCAGTAATGAAATAAGTAAATAAAAACATCTGAAATAGCTTAAAAAACTAAAAAAACACCCAAACTATTTCTTGCTCTTCTTAGAAGAGCTCCTAGGGTTTTCATCCTCCAAATATGAGCGAAAATTAGGATGAATCTGTCTCTCTCAAAGAAGATATTTGCAGCTACTTGTTGTGCTTTGATCTCCATCATTATCAGATGTTAGCATGGATTTTGTTTTGAGACTTCCGCAGACTCAAAGGGATATAGATTCTATATTCGTGGTGGTGGATAGATTCTCAAAGATGGCCCATTTTAGACCTTACAAGAAGACTCTAGATGCCACACATGTTGCTAACTCGTACATCAAAGAGTTGGTGACGTTGCATGGTGGTCAAAAGACGATAAATTCATATCGGGATATGAAGTTTCTCAGCCATTTTTGGAGAACTTTGTGGAAGAAATTGCGCACTCAGTTACAGTTTAGTAGCGCTTATTATCCGCAGACGGATGGCCAGATTAAAGTGGTAAATCGTACTCTTGCCAATCTTTTGAGAAGTACTGTGAGGAAAAGAAGAAACTGTAGGACCTAGCACTACCTCAAGCCGAGTTTGCCTCTAATAGTGTTTGCAATAGATCCACTGGTAAGAGGCCTTTCGAGGTAGTATACGGGAACAACCCAACTCATTCACATGACTTGGTTCTTGTCCAGGCCAATGGGGAGGGTCATGCTACTGTTGAGGACTTGGTTGACCAAATGAAAGGAGTGGATGAACAAATGTGTGCTAGTCTAGAAGCCAATAGAGCCAAATACAAGGAAGTAGCGGACAAGCATCGTTGTTCCAAGGAGTTTAATTTGGGAGACTGCGCAATGGTGTATCTCAGGAAAGAACGACATCCATTGAGAAAATACAACAAGTTGAATGATCACAAATCTGGACCATTCAAGATTTTGAAGAAGATGGGCAACAATGCTTACAAGGTCACTTTTCCTTCACACATGGAGACTTCATACATCTTCAACATTGCTGATCTGTCAGAGTATCAAGGTATGGAGGCGCATGAAGATGAAGATGTGAACTTGAGGGCGAGTTCTCCTCAACCTGGGGAGAATGATGAAGATCTGAGCACAACAAGTAGCCACTAGTATCTTCTTTGAAAGCAACAGATTCCTCCTAATTTTCGCTCATATTTGGAGGATGAAAACTCTAAGAGGGCTTCCAAGAAGAACAAGAAGAGCAAGGTGTTTTTTTAGTTTTTTTTAGGTTATTTCAGATGTTTTTATTTATTTATTTCATTATTGGATTAGTTAGAGACTTTTTAGATATTTTAATTAAACTTAGGGAGTTTAGTTTTAAATTATACTTAAGTTAGAATCTTTTGGTCAAAAGTTAATTGTATGGACAAATATTATCCAAAACAATAATTTTTCAATATAAATAAAAGCATGGATGGGCTGGAGAGTCATTGATGTATTCCTCTTTAAGAAAAGAACGACTTTGTCTTGTAAAAGAAGCCTACGGCTTGAACCCTAGGTGGTAGAAAGCCTTAGGGTTTCTCCAAAATTGCTTGTGTCAAGGTGCTTATTGCTGATTTTCCTATGTTTCATCAAGTTCTCCTACATCAAATTTCACAAAAGAAACAATACTATAAAGAAGTAGGAACTCAAAGCACTGAAAATTCAAAGATTCACTAGTGGAGGTCACAAATTTCTTTTGGCTAATTCTTTGGTCGTCTATGGAGCAAAGCCAAACCTATATCATCCAACTCTGTGGGGTTCATGAAATTTGAGTTCAAAACTAGTTAGTGCTGCGCCCAGACATTTTTATACAGAACTATTCAGGCACTGTTTGATCAAAACTAACAGCACTCGCACTTACCAACAAACCATTTGTTAGTGCTTCATAAATTTCCAATAAACGGAAATGATACAAAAAGGTTATACAGTTAAAAAAGAAAATGCTTGTAAAGCTTGCGGAAAGGGAATAAGAATGTAGATCTCCTTAGCAAGTTCCTACGCAGTAATCTTGCCTAGCTCCTAAAACGGAACAAGCAAACAATCAAGAACAACAACTATAGAGCTTAACAAAGTACTCGAATAACTTACAGTACGTCGATAAACCAACTCTGGCTTCAATTGCCTAGGATCATTCCATAGAACCTCAGTGTCAGAGCCTGCCCGAATAACAAATTGATCTCGAGCTTTCTCATCTGTAAGCCAATGCTGAAGGTTTTCCTGCAACATAGTATAAACAAAAATATAACAAAAATTTAATCACTTCCAATAGAAGTCCAAACTAAGAAATCTCAAGATAGACATAAGGGCTGTTCCATAATTATAAATTTCATGATGCCAAAATTTACTGACTGCTACCTTTTAGCAATTCCCAGTTTGGCAACTAGGAACATTAGAAGTCCACATTTCTCAAAAATGAGAAATGTGGTATTCTAACACCTCCCCCACCCCCAAAAAAAGAAAAAGAAATGGAGAAGTAAATTTTTCAAAAAATGACAAAGGCAGCTTTATTAATTTTTGGAATATTTGGTCATTTTCAAAATGCTGTACACATTGTCATCCATCTTTATTTTTATCCAAAATGGGATTGAGATGAAATTTGTACGGTTTGTGCACCTCATTAAGGGTGCTTATGTAAAGGAGAAGTAAATTTTTCAAAAAACGACAAAGGCGGCTTTATCAATTTTTGGAATATTTGGCCATTTTCAAAATGTTGCACACATTGCCATCCATTTTTATTTTTTTTCCAAGTTTGAATTGAGATGAAATTTGTACGGCGTGTGCAACTCATTAGAGTGCTTATGTAAAAAAAATTAAAATAATTAAAATAAAATAAAATGATCAAAATGCCCCTTAGAGGTATTTCATCATTTTATATTTACAATATATTTTTCATATTTTTTAAATGTGTATAGAGGCCAAAAATTTTATCTCAATTCAATGCATAGAAGAAAAATAAAATTAAAATACTAAGACATGCTCTCAAGAGTCTGATAAAAATCGGAGAAATGAGATCTATAGCCTTTTAGTTGAACTATAATGTGAAGTTTCCAGGGCATCAGTTATTCACTGAGCTCTTGCTTGCTGCCTGCCGACTTAAGAAGGTCGTGGCGACACTCCTTCTCAGCCCCTTATCTCTTCATTTTCTTTTTTTATTAATTGTTTGGATCCATACCCTAAATCGCTGTTAAGGTTCCTTTCGGCCTGGCTTGGCATATGGCAAGGCCTATAGATGCAAGCATTTAACCTCTTACACCCATTATTCGCTCAAACTTGCAAGTTGAGTTCACTCGGATAGGCAGGATCAAACTTTTATAATGTATATCTTAGTAAGGCTAAACCCATAATGCCTGGATCTTCTTGGAGAATGTTCGTGACGCTCCATAAACTCTATAAGACGCCTTGATTGCAGGAGTCTTGTGTGGTTGGCAGTCACAAGGAGACACCCAAAATTTTTATCTCAATTCAATGCATAGAAGAAAACTAAAATTAAAATACTAAGACATGCTCTCAAGAGTCTAATAAAAATCAGAGAAATGAGATCTATAGCCTTTTAGTTGAACTATAATGTGAAGTTTCAGGGGCATTTCAGTTATTTATTTTCCAATTTTCCAATATGTATATAGATATATATATATATATATAATCGAGTGCATCAAGGTGCACAAGTGCCCAAAAGTTTAGCTCAATCTGTATGGAAAAAAAAAAAAGTAAAAAAAAAGTTGAAATGCTCGTACATGCCATCAACTATCCCATTTAACAAGGTGAACTATAACCACATTATTTCCTTAACCCAATCAGAAGTATGAAAAATAAAACCAAAAACAAAAGTTGAAATGCTCATACATGCCATCAATTATCCCATTTAATTAGGTGAACTATAACTACATTATTTTCTTTTTATGTGATAAATCATCCATTTGTTAAATTTATTGTAGATGAGCTATGATTTTGAAACCTTATTCATTTAACAAATATAACCCTCTGATAAATGAAAACTTAAATGAATGGGTATAACTAAACAAATTCCAAATCTCCATGTTTACAAAATTTCATGTTAAATCAAACAGAGCTTTCCAGAATCCCCAGATTCTGAACTAATTAATCAAATTTTCTATTACCAGCAATGTTCAAGAAGATGGATTCAGTGGCCTAGGCGGGTACCCATATACCAGGGCGGCCTGTAAAGAGGAGAGAAATAGAGGAAGAGGCCGGGGGACATCTAGGCCCATAAGGATGATAGTTGGGGGGTTTTATAGGTTACTATACCCCATGATTGTGTGCATAAACATCTATTTGTCTAAAAGAATACTGCTTCATAGTTTTTTGTGTTACTTCATTGCAAAGTTTGAAGTTAACCATATGTGGCTTTGAACTGCGAAATTGAATGACTAAAACATTAAATGAGTCAAAAATTGCCCAAGAGTCATTTGTTATGTCAACTTTCAACTACAAGTCATATTAATACAAAATGAAAAACAATCCACATACACCATAACCAAATTGAAAAGGACAACAAATCAATACCCAATATTCATAAATATCACAAAAGCCTAAACCAATAAATGAAATACACTAACCTCTCAAAACCCAATCAAATGAGGCTCGAACCGGTGGCCTTTGGTTGCCAAAAAAACTCTTTTGCAACCACTTTAAGTCTCAAAAAGTATTTGATTGAATACTTTTGATTTTACAAGAAATCAAAAAGTTTGACTTTTTTTTGTCTTAAAAAAAAATCACAAATTCTTATTTGTTGGGGTGTTTTTCAAGCTCCAAATCAACACAAGTTTTAAGAGACTAAAAAATGCCCTCGAAAACCTTCCTCCTCCAACACCCACCCACCCCCCCCCCCCCCCTTCCCCCAAAAGGGGCAAGGTGTATCCTAGGGCCACCAAGGCGGGGCCTAAAGACAAAACTGAATAGGGCCCAGCCTACACCCTATTCGGTGTGGTTTGTCCCCAGGATTGCCTAGGCGACCGAATATCTCATCTCTAATTACCAGGAACTCAAAGTTTCACCTTCTAGATTCTAGATTTCGAAATTTCCAATTTTGATTTTAGCTTCCAATTGCCAAATAACCCCATAGGTATTTAAAAGTTGACAATTCTTAACTATGTTGGTACAAGCAACCAATAATATAGTAATTGGCCGAAAACTCATTACTATTAGCATTGGCATAATTGACTAAAAAAAAAAACATAACTGAAATGGAGTGATAATACAAGAAATATTCTCAATCAGGCAAATGAAATATAAAAAGCATAGGTTGTGATATATTTGTTTGAAAGTATCTAGGGTCATGTTTGCAGCCAATTATGTTAGTTATTTTAACTTCTACATTAGTGTTTGCATTGAACAATACCATCAAGCCACTATAGTCAAATCGGCCCAAAAACAAGTCAATTTGTTGAAACCCGTAATCTACAAAGAACACAAAAAATAATTTGGCCAATCTCATGTTGACTCTCCTGCCCTCCATGTGGGTCTATTTACATGTATTCTTCCAGTTTTTCAGTTTTCTTCAAATTCTAGGATTCATAAATTCTCCGTCTTTCTTTTTTTGATAAATAAAATTTGTATTAATTACAAAAAAGGTGTTTATGTTTGGACAAATGATAGGAATATTTACAAATGAGGGGGGACGACAGGGTTCTATAAGCGTTGATAGAGACTACAAAAAATGTGTTCTGTTTGTACAAAAATGATGGGAATATTTCAGACAAGAACATACGTAAGCAAGTCTGTCACGGAATATAGGTTCGTCCAAAAACTCTGTTCCCCTCCTTTCTAGTACATGAAAAGTTATTTTTACACATGTTCAATTTAGGAAATCCATAATGGTCCAAAATGACCATGAACCTGTTCATTACCCTTTCTCTCAAGTTTTGACAGTTCTTCACCCAAAAAAAGTATTGACAGTCCCTTATCTCTTTCTTACTGTAGTCTCTCTCTACCGCTTCTTCACTCTGTAACTCTCTCTCTCTCTCTCTCTCTCTCTCTCTCTCTCACACA